CCGGATAACTGGTAGTGTGGCGGGGTGGAGAGAGAGAATAGTGTGGTAAGGGGCAAGAACGGGGAGTGCTGGTTTAGGTCGCAGGGGCTGTAACGAAAGTGGGAGGGGTAGAGCCAGGACCTTGCTTAGACGTAGAAACTAGCAGGGTGAGGGGGATGCGGTTCATCTGTGTTTATGACGCTGAGCAAGAAACTGGCGAGCAAAATCTCGCCGGGCACTTGCGTACGGCCACAGTGCTCGCAATCTGACTCATCCTCACAGGCCGGAGAAGGCCAGGCCCAGCTTTTCAATGGGCGCATCAGTGGCGAAATTGTTGTTTAGCAGTTGTTGGGGCCCGAACAAGCAGGCGCCGTAGTGTTTGTTGGGGAGTGTGTTTTGCCCAGGCTGTGCTGGCGTCGTGCTGGAGCTGTTCCAGTGGCTGCATCTGCGCGGCGGCGTTTCTGTTCCTTTTCGACCCGGTAGTATAATTCGTTTGGCGAATTCGATTTGTCGAGAATCATCAGCTTGCATGTGAGATGGCCTGGTACTTTCTTGACGGAGCAGAGCAGAGCAGGGCAGCTTATTGCATTTTTGCTTACAGGGTTGGCGGGCTGGACTGATCACATCTTGAAGGAGAGCATTCGAATGTCGGCAGATTTGATGGTGGCCCAGCAGGCATGCTGCTGCATCGAGAATCCGCCATTATCCGGGGCAAGCACGGATGGCGACAGCAAAAGCAGTGAATGGATTCGGCATATGGAGACACTGAGACGAGCCGTCCACTGCCTGTACAATTTGTGCAAGGAGGAGCAGATGCTTTCACGATGCCAGGTTCGTCTTCGTATTGAGCAGCAAAACTTCCATTTTTCACGCACTGCTTCTGATATTGCCGAATTATTATGTTTGGACTGTTTTTGGGTATCGGTGTAGCGGCAATTTTCAAGCTTCTGTGTAGTTTGGATGAGGGTATCTTGCTGCCTCATTGATGACTGCCTTCGCGTTGTTCAGTTGACATTGCTTAGATGCTGCTGTGCAGTCGGCTGCACCAGTCTGT